TTYMAAAAMRAMCYTWWWAAMMMCYWAAMYWAAAAAAACATAAYATTAAATAAATATACCATATCCCGATCAAGATCTTTGCTCCCCAAACCCCTCACGGCTCCGGGGCTCGGGGGGCTCTGGCAGCCCCCGGGTGACGCCGCTCCCCTTTCCCCGCAGTTTTTCGACCGCCTGAAGCTGTTTTGGATGCCGGCCAAGCACCAGCCGGATTTCATCTACCTGCGCCATGTTCCGCTGCGCAAGGTGCACCTGTTCACKCTGATCCAGCTGCTCTGCCTCGTCCTGCTCTGGGCCATCAAAGCTTCCCGCGCTGCCATCATCTTCCCCATGATGGTGAGAGATGGAGATTATGGGGTTCCCGGTGCTCCTGGTGTTCCTGGTGTTTCCAGTGCTCCTGGTGTTCCTGGTGCTCTCAGTGTTCCCAGTGTTCGAGTGCCCTCAATGCTCCTGGTGTTTCTGGTGTTCCCAGTGTTCCCAGGGCTCCCAGTGTTTCTGGTTTTCCTGGTGATCCCAGTGCTCCCAGTTTTCCCAGTGCTCCCGGTGCTCCCAATGTTCCTTCTGCTCCCGGTGTTCCCAGTGCTCCCAGTGTTCCTGGTGTTCCTGGTGCTCCCAATGCTCCCAGGGTTCCTGGTGCTCCCCATGTTCCTTGTGCTCCTAGTGCTCCCAGTTTTCCTAGTGCTTCTGATGCTCCCGGTTCTCCCAGTGCTCCTGGTGTTCCCAGTGCTCCCAGAGTTCCCAGTATTCCTGGTGCTCCCAGTGATCCCAGTGCTCCCAATGTTCCCAGTTCTCCCAGTGTTCCTGGTGTTCCTGGTGCTCCCAGTGCTTTCAATACCCCTGGTGCTCCATGAGTTTCTGGTGCTCCCAAAGTTCCTGGTGTTCCCAGTGTTTCCAGAGTTCCCAGTGTTCCTGGTGCTCCCAATGTTCCTTGTGCTCCCGGTGCTCCCAGTGGTCCCAGAGTTCCCAGAGTTCCCAGTGCTCCCAGTGTTCCTGGTGTTCCTGGTGCTCCCAGTGCCTTCAATACTCCTGGTGCTCCACGAGTTCCTGGTGCTACAGGTGCTCTCAGTGCTCCCAAAGTTCCTGGTGTTCCCAGTGCTCCCAGTGTTCCCAGTGTTCCTGGTGCTTCTGATGTTCCCCGTGTTCCCAGTGCTCCCAGTGTTCCCAGTGCTCCCAGTGTTCCCAGTGCTCCCAGTGCTCCCGGTGCTCCCAGTGCTCCCAGTATTCCCAATGTTCCCAATGCTCCCAGCTTTCCCAGTGCTTCCGGTGCTCCCAATGCTCCTGGTGTTAACAATGTTCCCAGTGCTCCCAGTGGTCCCAGTGCTCTCAGCCCCGGAGTGACAGGACACACCATCTCCAGCCTCAGCCCTCTCCCATTTCCTTCCCGAAGGTTTTGGCTCTCGTTTTTGTCCGCAAAGTGATGGATTTCTGCTTCTCCAAGCGGGAGCTCAGCTTCCTGGATGACCTCATGCCGGAGAGCAAGAAGAAGAAGCTGGATGATGCCAAAAATAAAGCCAAAGAAGAGGAGGTGATGCCGGGAGCTGGGAATCTTCTCTGGGCTGAGAGATTCCCTCATCCTTATAAATCATGGAATTGTGGGATCGTGGGAAGGGACCCCAAAGCCCCTCCAGTGCCACCCCTGTGTGGGCAGGGACACCTCCCACTGTCCCAGGGTGTTCCAATCCCCAATGTCCAGTCTGGCCTGGGACATTTCCAGGGATGGGGGAACATCAGAACCGAATCAAACCGATCCAATAACCTGGATCCCACATCCTGAATCTTTTCCCCCTAAATTCTTAGAGAGTTTCACACTTGAGCACAGACATCGCTGTCATTTTTAAAATAACAAAATTAATTTAATTATTTATAAAAATATTTTAAATTATTTAATTCTTGAAATAATTTTAAATAATAAAAATAATAATTATTGTTCTGTGAGGGTTTGCTCCCTGCAGTGCCATTAACCCCAAACACKCCTGCAGGGGCAGGTGTTCAGAGCGGGGGGACAGCGTGCCAGGTTTTTATTGGAATTTCATTCCAGTAAAAAATAATTTCATTTATCCCCTCTTGGATCGAGGACAGAGAACTTGACTGGTCCCTTTTCAGGAGTCCCAGAAAATGATGGAAGCGGCTGCAGCGAATTCCGTTCAGCTGAAGCTYGGCAAGACCAGCAGGGTGGACGCCCCCAAGCCCAGCAGTGACAGGTAAAGCCCCCCAGGCCAGGACTCGTGGGGAATGTCAGGCTCAGGTTTCTCGGGTTGCAGCTTTATTCCCAGTCAGTTTGGTGCGAAAATCCCAATTTACTGGAGTTTAGGGGGTGATGGCAGAGCTCTGCCCCCACACGGTGCCCCCACAATTTCTGTTTTATCCCAAAACTGCATTGCCCGTGGTTTCCTGGGAGCTGGAGATGCTCCTGCTCCCACCTGAGAGGTCACGGGAAACAGCAGTTGCGTGTCTGCAACCCCGGGGCTTGATTCCCCAAATTCCTCACCCAGCCAAACCCCCCTGACCAGCTGAGCTCCGGTTTCCCAGTCCCTCCTGACCCCCTGGAACTGCTGCTGCTGTCCTGGTGTGTTGGTTTGAGACAACGTTTTCAGAGAAAACACATTACAGAGTAAATGTTTCCTCTGAAGTGAAAAAATTGATAATTTTTTTCCCACCAATATGAAATAGATATTCAGGCAAAAGTGAAGAGAAAAAAAAATAGTTTATTAACAAAACACAGTGCCCACAGGACACAGATAAAAAGTAACTTAGATATTTAAAAGACCAGGAATGCACACCGTCCCCTCCCCCCACAGCTGCTTGGCCACGTGGTGCAGAGAAAGATGGCGTGGCCCCTGTCCCCAGGAAGAAGAAACAAAAGAAATAAAAAAAGTCCATGTGGCACTTGGGCAACAGTGGAAAACCTGATGGTATCCTCTGCTCACTGTGGATGTAACAGAGGATTTGGTGTGCTTTTCTGTTGCCAGCTTGGCTTCTTACAGAGTCTGGGATGAGACAGAGTGGTGTAGCTTGTCCCCACCGGCCCCCAAATTGCACCAGACGAAAAATCACACGAGTCAGAGAAGGGGTGGCAGTCCAAGGAGAGCTGTTTGCCCAAGCTAACAAACCCGAGCTAGCAAAGCAGCAACAATGTAACTCAGAGCTGAGCTCCAAAAGCCAATGGCTGTGCAGCAGCCTGGGCTTTTAAACTGCCCACACCGCCCCTGCCCCTTCTTCTGGGTCAGATTTAATGACACAGACACCTTTTGGGCATACAAGTAGACGGAAAATAGGAATAGAGTGTTATAAAACCAACCCAAGACACCACCTGGGTGGGCTCGGACCCATCCTCGTGGAATATCGTGTGGAACATTCCTCGCAGGGCCGATCCCTCCGAGATCAACATTTCGGATGAGATGTCCAAGACCACAGTGTGGAAGGCTCTGACCATGAACACAGAAACGCTCTGAATCCGGGAGGAGAGAGGTACCGGCTCGGCTGTGGTGTGACCCTGTGGGGATGGACAGCACCTTCCCACGGTGCTCCTGAGCTTTGCCCAGCAAAGGGACATTCCTGGGAAGGGACAGCGGGACCAGGGACACCATTCCTGTCTGTGGGGAAGTGTGGGAGCTACACCTGGAATTCTGTGGTCAGATTGGGGCCCTACACCCAGAGAGGGGCTGGGGTGTGTTCAGAGCCGAGAATGGAGCTGGGGAAGGGCTGGAGCAGCAGGGAAAGGTCTGGAGAACTCCTGAGGGAGCTGGGGGGKCTCAGACTGGAGCAAAGGGTGATCAGGAGGGACCTTGTGGCTCTGCACAACTCCCTGACAGGAGGGGACAGGAGGGGACAGGAGTGGGGGTTGGGATCTGCTCCCAGGTAACAGGGACAGGAGGAGAGGGAACGGCCTCAGGCTGACCAGGGGAAGCTCAGGGTGAACATTAGAGAAAATTCCTTCATAGAAAGGCTGTCCGAGCCCTGGCACAGCTGCCCAGGGCAGGGGTGGAGTCACCATCCCTGGAAGAGCTCCACAAACATGGATGTGGCCCTTGGGGACACGGCCTGTGATGAACATGGTGGTCAATGATTGGGTTTGATGATCTTAAAAACCTTTTCCACCCTGAACAATTCCATGGATCTCCAGTTGTGGTTTTCCACTGACGATCCTCTTTCGCTTTTCCCTCTTTCCCTGTTTTCTCTCTTTCCCTCTTCCTCTCTTTTCCCTTTTCACTCTTTTCCTTCATTTCCCTCATTTCCCCTCTTTCC